GCTTCTGCGAGTGCTGCCAGAGGTTTCCAGGTGAGAGAGGAGAGTCGGTAGTGTCGGAGATGTCTGTACGGTATTTCGGTACGAGCTTTAGGTGAATTTGGTGTTGGGGGCTGTTGTGAAGCCTTCACATCTTCTCCCCTTGCTGTGCATCTGGTGCCAGATGGTGTGTGGTGTTGATCCAAACAGTGTCCGCAAGCTTGTGGTGAGAAACTAGCTGGCTCTGTAGGCATCGTGTGTGGATGGAGGGAAAAAGAAGTATTCAGGGTGTCTCTTAGTAGTTACTTTCAACATGAACCCTGCAGAGGGATGTGTGAACTTGAGAGTGATGACAAACTTGCGCTACAGCAGAAATGAAAAATAGTGTGGGAATGGCATACATCTTGTAGAAAACTGCTCTTTAATGTTTTTGAATAATTAAAACATACTTACTAGGAGCACTGAGATTTAAGCAGTACGTGGCATCTGGTTGAGGATAATAGAGGTTTATGTATGTGAGTCCTTTTTCTTCTTGGAATGAAAGTTTACTCAAAAATGCATGAGTGAGACTTTGTGTTAATGTCCTCCAATCCAGAAAAATCTGTGACTTTTGAGATACCAAAGCTTACAGCTGCTCTTTTTTATGAAATTGCATGTGGTAATCTACACAATAAAGTTGACTAATTTGCAGAAGTGTGTATGCAGAAATCTAGGACGAACACAATTCCCTTTAACACTTGTACTTCTCCAAATGTTGCTCTCCCTCTCCAAAATAATTGATTATAATCAGACTACTGTGTTGGATTTTTTTTTCTTTTTTTCTATCCTGGCTCTTGAGGAATGATGCTGCCAAATCAGACAGTCATAACCGATTGATACAGTACTTAAGCTAACATCTGTGTGTTTTTATTTGGGCATACTCCTTCAAGATTACCATATGCCTGCTTGTCTGCAGCGTAAGAGAGCAGTTCCACAAAGGCATTTACGTTCTGAATTAGATTTTCCACTTTCCAGATCAGAGTAATGTGGGGTTGGGTTTTTTTTTAGTTTGTATTCTGAGGCCTCGGATTTAGGAACGTGTATATTCTTCATTTGAGATTCTTGTTAATCAGTAATCTGAAAGACTTTATACACATCACAAAATCCTATCTTCTTCCTGTGAACGTTATAGAAGCTCTTGCCCAAGATGCAATCTCCTGGCCTGGAGAATGAGGAACAGGATGGCTAGCCTTGAGATCCAGGTTCAAAAGCTGTTTGTAAAGGCATGCGTCAGACTGCTTAGGGTGGCAAAGTTGCACTGTCTTCAGATCATTGCGTAGAAGCTTGTTGAAACCATACTTACTTCTTTACTGGATCTAAGAATTAGCATATAGAAAGAAACAAGTCATTTGATCACTCTACTGTGTTAAGATAACTTCAGTAGTTTTCTACAAGATGAGTGAAGACAGAACAGTAGTGTCTATTTAATTGCTTCCATGTGTTTAAATTTTGGAACAGTACTTGTATTGGCCCAAAATGCAAATTAAACCTGTTTAATATTGCTTAACATTTGTTTTGTGCAGCTCAGTGCTCGATAGCTTCAATTTTTATCTTCATCTAAATGAGAAAACTTAGCAGTAGCTTAGAACGTGGAAGTGGAACTTTGTTTTTGTTAATGAGGCTACAGTTGTGAAGCTATGCAGGCCACTTCAGAGTATCAGTCAGAATCTACTGCAGCATAACTTGGGTTTTCCTGTTTCTTCTTTTCAGTTGGTGATGGGTTTTGTTCATTCCTACAGCTGCAGCCATGGTTTTTTTTTTTTAGATTAAAATGAACCTTGAGGTAATACAAATGATATCTTCTTCTGAACTTAAGATACTGTAAGTTGTACACTTGAGACTCAGCTTCATGTTTTCCAGTTTTTCTTTTCTGGGAAGCATTTGAATAGTTGTGAACATAGTTTTCATCAGCTTGTTTTAACACTTGAGAAACCCAACTTGTGAATTTACAGATGTGGACTTAATAGTGTCTTTTGGGTTTTTTTGATGGTGAGGTTTTTTTGGGTGGTGTGGTTTTGGTTTTTTTTCCTTGTTTTCTGAACTGAATTGCAACTATATGTTGAAAATACTTAACTAAATTTTCTATTGATGATGGGATAATTACAAACAGAAGATTCCATGCTACAATTTCTAAACTTCTGTGCTCGTCTTGCCACTTTCCTCCTGTTGCAAAATGAGATAGAGAAACGTGTATGCTCTACCTTTGTTTTTATTTTAGTCTTGGTTTATCTACTGAGTGAAGATCAAATGTGATCTTGTTATTTGTGTTCTTATAGAAAACACATCTTCTCAAAAGAGATCAGCTGTTCACCTCTAAAAATGTTATAATGCACCAGGCTGCGTAAACAAGAAGGTCAAGACCAGAGCCATAGCAGTTGTTACTGACCCTTCCAGGTGCCTTGAGGTTGTGAGAGATTTCTCTACTGGATGCTGAACTTTCTGGTATATTCCAGTTGAGTGTATTGGACACTTAAACTCACTCTGAAGATTAAGGAGAAAAATTGGTTAGTTTTATCTGGAACTACACGGGCCTTTAATTGTTTAGAATAGTATATGGAAGAGTAATATTAAAGCCTACTTGTGTGAAGGGAAATGATTAAAGAGTTCAGATGTGAGCCCCTCCTTGGGGTAGGGAGAAGGAATGGAATTCCATTACACCCTTAAATTTCACTGTAGAATTTATTTCTTTCAGAATTTGGTGAGTGACACAATAATAGCTGCAAGAGTTGTCAACATAAATCATCAAGGTTTTGCAGTAGCTATAAAAGATATTACTGTAGGATGAGAGAGTGCAGAAAGCTTTGTGTACCGTTACATGCCTGCTTTGCTTACCTAAGATGTTTAGCAAATGGTAGGTGTAAAGAAAGTTAATCAATTTTTGCAGCATCATACTTTAGGTTTCTTGTGACCAGCACTTCACAGGAGTTTATTTAGATTTAAAAATGTTTTCATTTGCTAGAATTAAGTAACTTGAACATCTTGGGCTTTTGGAGGTTTGGTTTTGTAAAACAACATTAATTCAGTCAGTCTCCTACTGAGGGATCATTTTGAATTACTAGAAGCAAAAGTGTGAGTAGTTCTACATTTATGTGAAGATCATAGCCAAGATTGTCTTCCAAAGGGAATATACACAGTTGTGCTGTGTGTCTGTTGTTAATTCTGTCTGAGCCTGTTGAATACTTTCAACGAAACCTAAAAAGAAGGTGAAGCTCCTGAGATCAGTTGTGTTTGTATGGGTTTTTGGGAAAAGACAGCTATGCCTGGGAGAGATGCCATGACTGTCTTTTCTGAGGAAAAGGCTGGCCAAAACGGAACAGGAAGGTCAACTGTATGCCTAGATGCCAGAGAAGCTAGTTGGGTCTCACTCTCACTTTTTTGCATATCCCACCTGTATAAAAAGCTTCAGTTCTGTCAGGGAATTTTGTGAGGTTAATGATGTCCTGTGCTCTTCCAGTGGTTCTTCCTGCTGCTTGCTAGTTTAGTTTTTTTTTCTCATGGTGACTGTTAGACAGTGTTTCTTTGGAGTTTTTATTTTCCTTTCTCAAAACTTTAATTTCAGAAACATAGGAAGATATCAACAGGACTACAAGATCAATCTTCAAGTTACACTTCAGGAGTAATCCTTATTTTGCAGTTCTAACAACAGTTCAGAGCTCTTCCTGAAAAATGGAAAGATGAATTTTCAGAGTGTTTTGTCTCTTAGGACTGTTTTGTGTAAGACCTTCCCTCTTTTATTCCTTCCTTTCTTTTGTATATAGCAACTTTCTCCCATGAGTTATCCAGTTCAAAGGTGTGTGTTCTCACACTAATTTCCTTTTTCAGTTGTAATTGTAGTTATAGGACTTGCATGTTAGGACACCCCACCCCCACCACCCCCCAAGACAGTGCTCTCTTTCCTGCCTTTCAGTTAGTTATCTATTTTTCAATTTTGCTTTTCAGTCACATTGTTAGATTACCTTAGTTTAAATTACCTTTGGAGGTGCCTGACTTCACAATTGCAATAGATGTGCATGATACCAGTTGACCTGTAGCAGCTTCAATCTGTCAGTTGTACTGCAGTGATTTTTGAAGAGCAGTAACTTGCTTGTTATTTTTCCATGTTATGGACTTTGATTTATATTGTGTGTGTTCTGTTTATGTTTTATTCTATTATTTTGTTTGTTTGAAGCCAGATTGCAGAAAGACTTTGTAAATAGACGTAGAGTAGTGGTGGATGGATAGGAGGGTTGATATTTATCACAAATACTGGTTTAAAGAGATAATCAGGCCAATTAAAACAGATCTAATATTTAAGATGTGTCTATTTGATGAAACAGCTCCATTGTTTTTCATCAGCCGCAGCTGTTGTAACTGTTATCTCTATGGAGGCAGATCTCTTGTTATGTAGGTCACATCAAGGAAAAATAGCAGCTGAACACTTGCTTCAAGTATTGTAGAGGGAAGTGCAATGAGAACATTGTATATGTTCCCATTGAATTGTTTTGAAACAGCAAGAGGAGTTGTGTAGTAGACTGGCAATTTGTATTATGACATGTGAAGGTGGAAAAGTAAGTAAAAAAATATCCAAACATCCTTGCCCCACTTAAACAAAAATAATTTGAAAACAGAATTCCTTGAAGGAATTTTCAAATCAGAGGAAAAGAGAATACTTGCAGGCTTTGTGCCTTGAAATGAGCAGCTTCCCTTGAACCTAAATAGTGAACTCTTCAGTAAATAGGCTCTTCAGTTTTCATTCTCTCTATTTGCCCAGCAAAATATTCTTTACACTTCTTTTGTTGGGGGAGGAAAGATGGGTAATAATTTCTGCTGCTTCAGTTTTGAAGCTGCCTGCTGCAGTGGCTTTGCAGATGATGTGACTGACTACATGCACTTCCTGATTTTTAATTATTATTTTTTCACATACTTTCTGTTTACCCTTGGTAAAAAGAGAGAAGCTTCTTGAAGACGAAGAATAATAATTCATAAGAAAAATAAATAGGGAGAGTATGGCAGCTATTTCTGAGACAAATAACATGTTTGATATAACTTCGGAAACGAGTATAATTTTTAAGGAATGACACATTGCATTAATATACCACGTTCTCCCATGGTACAGACAAAAGGAATCATTTTGAAATCTTCTGATGCAAACAGATCTGTCAGTGTGCTGTATGGTGGTAGTAGTAGTAGTCAGAGTATTTATTTGATAACAGAGGTTCATGCTAACTCCAAAACTGAGCTTTGCAGCTACACCCTGAGAGCAGATCTGGTGTGAGCTCAGTTGTAAGATTTTATCATTGTTGGTACTAGTAGAAATAATAAACCAGAAGAGGTTTCTGGACTACTTTATGTGAATGTGGCTGATTACAGCGCTAATAATTATTTCCTTATAGTTGAATTGAAGTATTTTCCACACTTTTAATGTGTACTTTTCTAACACAAAATTTGCATGAGGATATTTAGTATAGAAGGTCACTAGGCTTATATTTGAAAAACTGATGTTCTACAAGACTAAGATGTTGTCCACATCACTGAAATCTATACCTAGCAGGTTTTATTTATATTTATGTATCTTTAGTAGATTGAAATGGCTTATAAATTGAATTCTGGACTTCTGATGGCAGTATTTCTATTTTCTGACTAGCAGTCAGACACTAATTGTGCACAACTTCTTTTGCCCATAAATGAGTTTATGTAGATTACAGTTTGCTATGTTATTTATACTTTCAGTGCAGAATTCTTCCTAAGACAGAGTCGGGAAGGACATATGACTGAGTTTTTTCAGTGCCCTTGTAAAGCTTCCCTCTGATCTCTGTATCTTGTTTCCTGTGTTCTAGCCATTTGTTTTAGGTCTTTGTATTCATTATAGGTAAGATTAATACATGATTCTTTCGGGTATAATTCCCTGGAAGTAGATGAATTGATAGTAAGCTTAGATTATTGTGATCTCTGGATTTGCATTTTACATCTAGAATAGCTAGTAACAAATAATGTGTGAGTATCTATGTGTATGTAAACTCTTGAATCTTTCCTGCTTGTCAGTTTCTTTAATTTAACAAACCTCAATTACTATTTTGAGGAAGCTTTCTTCACAGTGTTTACCCTTACTATCTTTCAGTGTAGTCTTTTACTGCCACTTCACTCTAAGATATCATTGACAGATGGGATAGATGCAAATTTCTGTTTTTAACCATATTCTTCCTTCCAATGTTACGTCCTGTGCTTGTCGTATTTAAGCTTTTTCAGTAAGTGTTCCTGTTAATATCTAAATTGTTCTGAAAAGTAGTATCAATGTAAACACTAAAAATGAGGTGCTGCAGAAGGTGTAATGTCAGGCAAATATGAATGTAGTTACTGTGTAGCATGTAAAGGGAGGCAATGTCTTGATTATCTTGTAAAATGTAAATCATTACCTCATTGAAGTTCTGAGGGTTAGACAAAACTCTTTATGAATCTGCCATGTATTGTATACTGGGTGGTTAATAAAACATGTCAGTTTATAGTGTTCTTTTAATTAAAGTAGGTGAAGGGTAAAGGGCTAGTGAGATGAAATCTAAACTCAACATTAACTTGAAAAAATTCAGCACAGATTTTCTTTGTTAGCCTTTATGTATGAGGAAACTTAGACTTAGCTTCCCTCCCCCCAAGTCTTCATCATTTAAGAATCCAGTGACTATTGCATCTTTGAGGGAATAAATGGTGGTGTATGACTACCAATGCAACATCTGTGACATAAGGATGTTTTTAAGGAAACTATAAAAACATTTCATTGGTTATTAAAACTGACTAAAGCCTGAAAAAGCCAATTTAATTCTTATATTAAAAGTATCTTCTTGTATACTTAATAACATAGTAGTTCTGATTTGATGTAATTTCTTGTAGGCAATTATAATTAAGCTCTGTCTTGCTTTCTTTCTAATCAAGTGTTCTTATTCTAGCTGACAAATCAAGACCACCTTCATCAAGCCCTTCCAGTATTATTCGCCGGACTTCCTCATTGGATACTCTTGCTGCTCCGTACCTTGCTGGACAGTGGCCTCGTGATAATCATGGACAAGCTGCTCCATGTATGAGAGACAAAGCCACACAGGTAAGACAGATTTTTGTCTTTAACGTATTTACATGTGAAGACAGGCTTTAAATGTAAGAGAACATTCACTTTGGCTTTCTTCCTTGCAAGTTCCTATTCACTTTAAAATTGCAGCAATCCTACCTTTGCTATTGCATGTGTAAATTATTTGCATTCTTCTCTGAGAAAAGGCTGTGAACTGTAATATCTGTTAAGAGTTCCACTTTCTTATTGCCTCAGAAAAACGCTAGTGCATTGCATATCTATTTTCTCATTGTTCTTACAGTGTGCAGTACACTAGATTGTACTGGTGTTAAGTACTGTGTAGTTTAAATTTATATAAGAGAACTTAGTGACTCCTTATATGTATGTCTGTCTTAAAACTGAATAAAAAAGCTTCTGTAGTGCCTGTATAAAATCTGTTGTAGCCTTTTTTATGGTAGGCTGTTCATTCTCTTGATTGTAAAAAGCCTTTAAGGTTCACCTGGGATCTACACACCAAGTATTATATACATTGAAGAGCTGCCTCATTGAACTGTGACTGATATTCAAATTTAGCTCAACTGAAAAGTATTAAAAAATTTTGTGATTTGCCAATAAACTTCATCAACTTGACAAAATTTCACAAGCTTTTAATAGTTCAGTCCTATGCCACCTGTAAAGACCAACAAACAACTGAATGAAACTAGTTACAAGAGTTACGTGGTTTTCATGACAGTTGTTTTCTCATTCCCCTTAAAGGGAGCTATGTTACATGGTATCCTACTGGATGCAGAAGTGATTCAAGATGGGTTTTTTTCCATAAAATCTCCCAGTGTTTCATTTCTCTTTCTGTGGATGCAGTCTGTCAGTGTATTTCTCTAATGTGTAGAGTGAAAGAAAGAGCCAAACACACCCGATTGTAAATCCCCATTCCTAGAGCATGGTTTCAACAACAGGTCTCCACCAATTCCAAAGAAAGTAAGCAAAATGCCGAAACTGACAGCATGTGGGACATATTGAGTTGGAGCCTGCCTTCTGTTTGGTACCAATAACAAAAATGTGGCCACATAGGTTTCAGTGTGCTGTCTACTCAGCTGTGTAGAATGTTGAGCAGATGTCTGCAGCATTGATTGTTACTTCTCCAGATCCACAACATTTTGCAGAGAGAACCACAATTCAGGGAGCGGATCAGTAGAAAAGTAAGGTGTTTTGTAGGGGAATATGCTCATGTGGATAAGGTGGAAATAAAAACTGGTGAAAAAAAGAGGAAAATTAATTGAAAAAATGGTTAGAAGATGGGGTGAAAAAGGTCAGCAAATCATAGTAAGAGGAGGAGGATGAAGGAAGGCGTATAATATACAAGGAATTGCTGTTCATGCTTAGCTATTAAAGGGCAGAACTAAACCAATGTGGGTGCTTAGCTATTTATTTTCATATTTTGATTTCTTAGGATAATATTTTTTTTCAAAACAATTATATTTCTGTACTACTGCCAAAGTATTTGCTATATTCAGTTGATCTCTTTCAGCTTAGTTTCCGTTTATCTGAGTCATGGCTGGTCTTTTATAATCTGTGTATTTTCCAGCTAGATTAGATTGCATCCTGCTTGGCTTATGTTTTTCTTTTGTCTTTCTATTCCTATTCTGACATATCTAGCTGCTAAGGTAGTGGGGCTTTCGTATATAAGGGGAAACCCATTTGTGAAGATTAGTGGTAAGACTGTAAAGGGCATTGGATATTTCTGCAGAGTTAGTATATTTAGTGGTGATTGATGTTGGTATAGTGCTGAGGGAAGTATGACGATTTATTTGTACTTCTTAATTTAAAATTTATCAAACCAGTAGAGAATTTTGGGATATAGACATACATCTCTATGTCCAAAGCTTGTGTTGATGTGAAACTGATGAGACATCATTGCTTTTAAACTTTCTGGTGTGCTTGAGAGAAGCTAGGGAGAAGTTTGAAATGTGATTTACAATAATTAGTTTTCCAATGTAGTGTAGGCTTTCCATTTGTATTGTTTATCATTTCTGAGGACATGGTGTTTGAATGAAGTTTCACTTACAAGATATTCTGGCTTCAGTATGTAATTTCAGATTTCACAAAGTCTGATGTGAAATGGATGTATTCAGAATTCAAAAGTTTAGGGAACAGGAATTGAATCTGTTAAGATATAAAAGATTTCTCAAGTTGAGTAAGCAAGGTATCTTGATTCTGCAGGTTTATGGCATAGGGAGTAGAGTCATTCAGGAAGCAAACTGGGAAGAGACAACAGTTAGTGACATCCTGACTTGCAAGCCTTTATGGAGGTGCCCATAGGTCATCGCTGAGAACTGTGTAAGAGACCCCCGGTCACGCAGAGACTGTCTGTGTATCGGGCTCCTGCTTCGAATGATTATTCTGATGCAATTGTCTATAAAACCACACTGAATTATGTACATGCAGAATGTTTGTTGGATGATGAATAAAGTGTATTATTGAGCATCCTATGGTCTGGCTAGAATTCATACATGCAGATATTGTTTTAAGTGCTGCTAAAACAAGTGTTTGTAATCTTGTGTCTCCCTTTGAATCAAACTTGTTTGGCTTTGCCTGTGGCTGCTTGAAATACAGCTAGGTCAAAATACAAGTTAAAATGAGACAATTGCTTTGTATTTTTTTTAATTCTTAAAGAATAATTAATTTCAACTGCAAAGTTTTTGCATCTAAAACTTTTTTTTTCTTAAGTGTTCTATCTGTGATAAATGTAGCCTTAAACTCATTTCTGTTTGTAATTCCAGAACAGACAGAAGGATGTTGTGAATGGTAACAATTAACAAGCAAGTAGTAGTACTTTAAGAACCTAGAGAAATAGAAATCTCTGTTTGTCTATCAGTTATTTGGTCTGTGTTTCTTGAAAATAAGTGTTATAAACAAAATATGAGGAATAAATAGGAGAAGACTTGCTAAAACAGTATTATATTTTTGTCTTGATGCAAGGGTTTCCTATAATTTCATGTCTTATACCTACTCTTGCTCTAGAAAGGTTTCTAACTGTTTGTTTTGAGGGTGGACATCAAAGCAAACTTTAATCCTTTAAAATGAAACAGATACTAATTTATGGAATAAGTCTTGAATCTTCAGTCTTGCATATAAATTAAATGCAAAGACTGATTCGAGTGTTAATTAGATTCCTGTAGGCAAGTATAGTGGTTGTGCTGAGTTGGAAGGTTAGAATTAGTGGCTAAAACTTACTGTTCCAGGAGCTACAGGATAAGATGAGACTCCAGACTGACATTTGAGAATTGACTAGGCAAAGACTGGTACTTGTGAATGGGGGGTTTAAATGTTTCTATTTTATGATGAAGGCGAGTGCTTTTCTGGAAAAATAGATTCTAATGGATTCTAATTTTGCTATGAAACAGGAATTTCAAAGCAACCCTACTAACTTTATTATTCAGTTTTGTTCTAGTTAGTTTTTGATTTGTAACAGTAAAGATGATGAACTCCTGATAGTGAAAGTTTCATTTATATGAAACTTGTATCTGTAACTGAAGCTGATGGGAGTTGCAAGCGGTATGTTTGGAGTTACACCTCCATTTTCCTTGCGAAATGGGGATTAATACCATGTTGTTGAAGGCCTTTTGAATTTCTGTGTTCTGAGTACAGGTGGAGTATGCAAGGTCAGCTTGTGGCTTGCAAGCTGTTAGTCTCAATAGTAAGAATAGCTGTTGCACGCTGTAGATGTGAAGGCTTTGAGGCAATAAAAGTTCCTCTCTGTAGAAGAAACTGAGATATCAATGACTCCAAAGGCTGAGTTAGCTAGATCACCACTGTGTGCTGAGAACTGCACTGTGGCAACAGTGAGTTTAAAGGAATTCAATGTCTCTTTTAGTGTGTGAGCTGCTTCCAGAAATCCTTTCCCCTACTTCATTAGAAATATTTCTTGTGACTGCATGGAGATTCCTGGTAGATGTTATTAACCCTCTGAGAGGCTTTACAGTTAGTTCATTGCTTTTGAAAGCCATTCTGGACTGGTTAGGTGGGAATACAAACTGTCCCTAAAGTCTGCAGTATTATTGTAGGCTTGCCTGTGCATTTTGTTACCTTAAATAAATACAGTTTGTCTTAATAATAGTTTGAATTTCTCAGAACTTTTTCACCACAGTATGCTTGCAAGTTTCTTTATTAAATGTTAATGACTCTGTTGATTTAATGAAGCTAACTTGGTATTATCTTAATTTCTCTCTGCTTGGCCTGAGACAACCATGAACCTGAAGGCCTTTGAGGCATTAATAAATCCCTGCTTTGCAGTAGCTCTAGTGGTACTTATATACCTTGCCTTCCTTTTTCTCATTCTTTTGAGCAAGAATATGATTTTGATGCTGTACTGGTGGCAGGCTTTCACAATGTTTACACCAAGCTACCCTTGCTAATGTGTCAGAAATAACAAGGTCAGAATCTGTGCAGGAAATAAAATATTTCATCATCTCCCCCAAATTCAGCATTGTTGTAGTGGTTCTTCAGAGCTCTATAGCAGCTTGTGGTACATCTGGATGTTAATACCATCTTATGCTCAGTAATTTGTAAGGGAAACTAGCACATACCTGTATTAGAGTAGGTCTGAAAGTTGTTTTTTTTAAGTTACATAGTTTCACTCTATTATTTTCATGCTTTACTTGTCAGAGAGGCTTCTAGTCAGTGACTACTTTTCAGTTAGCAGTGAAATCTTAGCAGCAAATCTTAACACTGTTCTCTCTTCTAATTTATCTCAAAATATTCTGCCAGAAAGTAGGAATTACCTTTTTTTAAAAAAAACAACAACAAAACAATAAAAAAACAATCCTGTCATCTTCTTGCTGCAGACAGAAAGTGCCTGGGCTGAAGAATATTTAGAAAAGAAGAGAAGCTCACATAAACGTTCAGCATCATGGGGCAGCAATGATCAACTCAAGGAGGTCAGAAAAGCTATTATTTGATACTTTTGGATTAAATTTTTTACTGGTATGCACTGTTACCGTGAGTTTTCAGGAAGACGTGACTATTGTACTGCTTTGTTTTAATATACAGATTGTGGGCTTGAAAAAATAAGAAATAGCTTTTCATTGGGTATTGATTTTGTATAATACAGGAGTATTACAATTTTTAATACGAATGTGTGGGTAAGAAAGTGTCAAATGATGGTGACATTCTTCATCAAAGAATGAAATACAGCAGTGACCAAACTGCTTTCAAACTTTATGTATTTCAAGTTCTTTCATTAAACCTCCAGAGGTATCTTCTGGGCTTCAGCTGAACTGGTAGCTAACATGTTAGATTTGCAAGAATTTAGGTCTAATTTAGTGCTGGCAATAATTATGAACATTGTGGTTGTGAAGAATTTTAACTAAGTGATGGAATAAATTGATGAAACTATGTGTGTATCTGAATATATCTGGTGAAATCTAATGTGAATTTTTCCTTTATTAGATTGCAAAATTGCGTCAACAATTGCAGAGAAGCAAACATAGCAGCAGGCATCATCGCGATAAAGAACGACATTCTCCGTTTCATGGTAACCATGCAGCAATTAATCACAGTCAGGTAAGGCTGTGCACTCTTTGGACATACTGGGTATTTATTACTATTTGTAACTCTTTTCAAGGTTATGATTTGTCTTAAAGGGAACTTAGAAATACCATATAGTGCTAAATATGCTGTAGCTATAGGTGAATTCTGTGAAATAGATCAGTTTCCTTTGACTTCCTCAAGTGTATGGCATCCCGGATCTTTTTGTCACTTGGATGGGCTGGCTTTGAACTCCCACTTTCAAAGAATTTCAGCTACTTAGATCCTTCCTTAAAGCAAGACTTAAAGTGCATTCTGCAGACTTTACAAAAGCATGACAGATAAGTTTAATCTAAAACTGAAGATTATCGTTTTCATTATGCATTGCTGTAGAGTATGGCATGGAGCAAACTGATGTTAAAATGATACAGAAAGTTTACCTGACAAAAAGCTATTCAATGGGGTTTTTATGTACTTTATTAAAGTGTTTACACTCTTGATGGCTTCATTCAGCCTTTGGAGGAGTATTTTTTTTTCCCTGTCATTTAACATGCTTTGAGACTTTTAAGTAGTAATCACTTCAAAAATTGCAATGGTCAGGCTACCGCATGTTCTGTGTGCAGCTTTAGTTTTAACTCGAGACTGCTAATGAGGCCAGGTTCACAGGTAGATAATATTTTTAGTTCAATTGGTAGCAGGTGGAAAAAAAATTACAGGCTTTTAGACACATAGATCCTTTTTCAAATCTGTTTTGCTTGAGTAACTTTAAGAAAACAAATAGGAAAGCTTGGTCATTTTTTCAGAGGAAAATTTTTTTTTTGCCCCTACTGACATCTCATTAATGTATGTTTGATATTCACACTTTTTTTCTTTTTAACAGTTTCAAAAAGAACAGATCCCTCACAATTGCCTTACAAGTCAGTGTAGTTGAAAGAAATGGTGGAACTGTCAGTGTTGTGTATTGAGAAAGTACTTTGGCTGTGAAGCTTCTGTGCAAATCTAATCATATTCCCAATTATTCTTGAAATGCAGTTAGCATTGTTCTAATAAATATCGTACTTTGATACCAGATAATAAAAACTGTTTCTTTTCTGTTCTTCCTTCCAGAAATAATTTAGGCCAGGGAGGGAAGCTGCTGTGACATCAGCATGTGTCCTGTTCTACAGATACTTACCCATTCTGATAAAGGGTGAAATAACAAATGGAAGGGAGAACCATACATTGAGTTCTGAGCAGCCAGGTTCTTTCCTAGACAAAAGTCAGGTGTCTGAGTGAATCTATTATACTGCAGAATTAGAAATAAGAAAGTAGAACAGTGTTTTGAATTTCTCCCACACTTCTCCTCTTAACTACTACTTTGTATAAAAATCAGTAGTGTCTTTTAGCTCAGAGCCTAACTTATCACTGCTGTAGTTCATTTAATTAGGAGTCATGAATTTTCAGAACATTAGTGCCTCTTGAATTCAGTTTGTTATTACTTTGAATTCTGTGCTACTGTAAATATTTTATTTAGGATTTTTTTAGAATCGATTTTTTTGACATAACAATTTAGGAATTACTTTTTCATACTCTTCAAATTTTGAAACAGGAACTGTTGCCTCCTCTTTTGTATGGCAGAAGAGGTGTTTGAATTTGAAACAGGCTGTCTAGTACAAATTCCTACATTTTGGTCTGCTTTACTGACGTATGGATGCATTGTAGCATGCTGCTAATCTTAGTGTCTCCTGAAGCTCAAGTCAGAACAGTCCAAAATGATGAAAGAAGAAAGACAAATACATGACCCAACCCCTTTCTAGGGGATTTTGAGAAAGTTCCTGAAAATTGGTGAGACACTTTTTTTTTTTTTTTTTTTAAAGGAAGAAAGAAAAAAAAGATGGGTCAAAATAGTTGATGCAGGTATTTTTTCCAAATTTGACTTTGAAGACTTTGTTTGAAGACTTGGACTTGTTCTGTACTTGTGGGCAATTGAGGCATTTCAACCAAAAAAAATGTACTGAGGAACTTTTGGTGTAGGCCCTTTAGTACACTGGAGAATTACATGCAGTCTAACAGGTTTGACTTGGTATTCTACAAACCCGTAGGTTTCTGAATACGAAGCTGTTACCACTTTAACATAGATAATCTTAGTGGTTTTTAATTTTGAAAATGAACAGTGATGCTACTACTCTGAAAAATAAAGCCCCTCCCACATTATGTGTATATATATATATTTTTTTTTTTTGCATCATAATTACTTTATTATTAGGGCTCATGAAATTTTGCTTCTTGTATGGAGGTCTTTTGCATTCTGCCAAATTTTAGAGTATGTGAATATACTATTACACAACAGATAATTAGTTTTCGGGCTTGTGAAACAGACTATAAAATATAAACTGAGGCAAAGCAGCTTTTCCAGCATTGTGTTACAAAAAGAACCATTGTTTTTCTTGGTAAATTTTGTGCCAGCCTTCTCAGGCTGCTTGTGAAGGGGTGAAGTTACAGAAGGCTTCTAAAAGAGTAAGTGAAGGGTTTAGATTAATGGCATTTAGAGGCTGCTTTCTAAGTCAGAGTGAAAATCTGTAATTGTAGGCATCAAGGACAAAGTTCCTAGGCTTTCTCTTTCCTTTCTAGAGAACTGCTAAACTAGAATTTCTGTCAGCAGCTCAGTTCTTTTAAGATTTATGGATAGGACTGTGTGGAAACACTTGCTGTTAGTGATGAGAATATTTAGAATTTTTTTACATTCTCAGCTTGAAGGAAACTTGCAGTTGTTGACTGCAGAGGGTCATACAAAGATTTCTGAGCTCAGAGTTGAATTCCTGACAAGGCTGAGAAAATGTGTTAGGAAATTGCCTTGGTAGTCCCTTCACAGAGACCAGGTAAACTCGGTTTAACATTTTGGAAGTGGCTTATTATTCTAGTTAAAACTAAATGAAGCAATCCCAGAGGATTTATTTCATCTTTTCTTCCCTACTAAACACTTAAACTTTGCTATAGTTCTTGAGTTTCACCAAAATTTTTACAGTGGTTCTTACCACCTAAGCCTCCAACTGATCGTTTAGTTGTGCTTCTTTCTTCTGATTTTTGTTTGGAGAAAGAAATCCACACGATCTCTGTGACATAAGCTTGTTAGCTATTCCTGTCCTATTCAGAATCAGGAAAATAGTGAGAAACTTGATCAAATCCTTGCTGCTGACTAAATTTTTTTCCAGAGCAAGTGAATGTTTTTTGTTTGTTTGTTTTTTTTAATGATGCCAGAAGTGTTCTATTCTGCCTCTCTTTGCAGGAAGAGAGGTTTGCAGAAAGGTCATAGCCTCCTCAGGTGATCTCGGGATGCTTCTGAGAACTTTGGATTTTTAATTAATTGCGTGATACTAAATCTCTAAATAGGAGTCCAACCAGTGAGATCTTCCTTTATTCTCAGTGTTAGTGTAATGGAGAAACTAGAATTGAGGCCAGAGCTGAAGACAGATGGAAAAATAAATGGATTAGATCTTTCAGAATAATCTTTTTTCCTTAGTGCACTTGACTGGTGTTGTGCTGCTTGACACTGAACCATCAAGCTCTGTCCTTTCACTTTCCTGGGAAGCATGTGTCCTTAATGTCTTACCAATAAATTGATCCTAAGCAACCCCGATAATGGGACCAACTGCATGCAGTTGGCAGTGGTTTGCAATTTGTTTCACTCTTACCACATTACATAATTAGAATGTTTCATTTTTAGAGTGGAATTGCCACTTGAGGTGGTTTGATGTTAAATCTGAAAGCATCAAAAGACCTTGGATTCTATTTAAAGTTCTATTGCTTTTTGAAAAATTGGAAGAGCTTAGAGCACTTTTCTAAAATGCCTGAGAACAATTTAGATTTGTCATCACCCTATTTCATATCTTGTGAGTTTATGCCATTCCTGTAAGTTTCAAGGTTCTGTCCCACACGAAAACTCCGTGACAATGTGTTATTACGTGAGCACTGTAATTATTATCCTGTGTTTGACTCCTTGCTTCATTTTGTGTCTTCCCAAACATGCAGTTGAGTAGTTAAAGGTTGGTAGCCTATTCCTGTGTGTCAGGGGCCAGTTCCACGCAGACCTCTGTGGAAGACCTCTGAGAAGGCAGTATTTCTAATATAAAGTTTCTTGTTTTGAGGCTGGTTGTTCCACCCCTGTAATGGTACCTCCTTCCCTTTCCATCCTCCAGCACTCTGGGTTAAGAAGTCATCCTTAGTCATGTACAGATTATTATTTCTCTTGGAAGTGAAACATGCTGTACTGAACCATTATGAACGCTGTTGGAGCTGCTTGTGCTTTTCTACTTTGAGCTCTTCAAACAGTACTATGACTGTAAGAATTTCTGCAGTAGGTAATCATATTTAAAAGATGGAGAATTCCCACGTTTTGCTAATGGCTGCTGAAATCTTAGCCAAGCAATCTTGTGTTCCACTTCCTACTTTTGTCCTAAGAATGTGTACATTTAATAACCAGGTGCATAAACAGTCTTTATTAGTGCCTGAACTTGTGCTAAAACACCTGTAGTATGACTGGATATTGACTTGCATTAGTTTATTGGATTGTTGATCCAAGGCCTTGTTTGGAATGGAATTAGAATTGCTTTCTCAGACTTTTTTGTGCTCTTCTCCAGTGGTTTTTGTTTTTTCTTTTTCACCTTCAGGCAAGGCTTTTGAAAGTCTTTCTAAGTTTGGCCATTATGAGAATGTTTAGGTTTTGTTGACATAAACAGTCACAAGCATTTCCTGAACAGAGGCTTTTGTAGTCCTTATGCAAGTCTCTTTTTATAGCTATCCTAATCTTTCAGTAAAGCAAAACCAATATAATAAGTTTTGCTGCCTTAGAGGCTTTTGATTGTGCGAATAAGTCTGCATTACGATCTGCACTTAGAATTCTCTTGTTTACATTAATTTTTCTAAGGTAATTTTTCTGCCAGACAGATTTTATGTGGTTTTTGAGAATTCACATGTGAAGTTGCAATGCTTTGGAGTCTGTCTTGTTAGAGGGGAGAAAAAAAAAAAAAAACCAACCACAAACAAACTGCTTTGAAGACCAGATGAGAATGCTACCATTCTTCAGTCAGTAGAGGAGATGTTCTCAATCACAGCACACTAGGCTATAGAGTCTAGGAATTTTACACAGGAATTCTACTATGACTTTAAGTGTTCTTTGAGTTGAACTAAATGTTTGCAGGAAGCATTCGGTTACCTGCATACTCACCAAGTCTATGTTGAAGTTTAGGGCAGAATCTTCTAATGTTCTGGTAGTATAATTTTTTTAGCAGGGAGAAAGGGTGGTAACAGAGGGGATGGGGAAATCTCAAGAAGTTTGGTGTACCAAAAGGGGCTTTGGAAAACTTCAGTAACGTATTTTCTGAGAATGGGGTTTTTATGCCTACTTTGAAACACTGGATTTTTAAAATGTTAGTCTTAATTCTGAAGCAACTATGTATTAATGTTTGGGATTTTATTCTTTTTTGTGGAAGCCTTCCTAAATTGTTTTGTCAACATTTTATTCTGGCTTAATATAGTTACTATGTTGATCTTTGTTTCTAGCGGAATGCAATCTTGCCTTTGTGGAATAATTTTCCTTCTGCATGTGTTACATTACTGTCAGTGACAGCAGACTTCCATTAAAATACAATTTGAATGAAATTACAAGTGGTAAATCCAACAGTGAAGGAAGTGAAATTGTGGTACAGCTCGCTTCAGAAGGAATGTGAATATATTTTAAAGTCTTCAAAATTACTTACATTTAAATATTTACTGTTAAATTTTCACTTGTAAAGCAATGTCGAGCTGGAGGCAGAGCGTATCAAGGGAAGTTTGAGACTAGATTGTTGAAAGGTTTTTGTGATAGAAATGAGATTTGAAACAAAATTCAGCATGTCTTTCTCTTCATTTAAGGCATCCATTTTAACACAATCGCTATAATTCCATCTTAATCCTTGATATTGAGGTGTAGATGTGTTCTATTTAAAGGTTCACTTTTGAGTAGAAATAGTAACCGTGCTTTGTAAGTAAATCTACGTTGCTTTCTCTCTGTCTCTGGTTCTTCAGGCTCCCATCCCAAAGAGTGCTCTTGTTCCTGTGATACCTATTACCAAATCAACAGGATCACGATTCCGAAATAGTGTAGAAGGACTGAATCAGGAGATTGAGATAATAATTAAAGAGACTGGAGACAAAGAGGAACAGCTTGTTGTATGTATCTGCCACCATGATTGCTTTCTAGAATTATTTTGGTTTTGCTTTGAGGTTTTTAAGTGATAAGCTTTATTTTGCACTGTGTTTGAATTAAATTTGTCTGGAATTAATTTTGCTTTCTTTAATAAAGCTAGCTGAAAAGTCTCTTGGAAAGCAAAAAGAAGGAAAGAGTTATTGCTTGAATCTGAACCTTTTTCCTCTGTGGTTACTGTGATGTAATTAGTTTTCCAGTAAAATAAGAAATCTCAGTAAAACAGGGGAAAAGACAGAAGGTCTGTTTTGAGGGTTTTTGCAGTAACTTTTTCTTTTCTTTGCATGTGCTGAACTGTCCCCATCCCAGTTGAAGCATAACTTACCCTTTTTTAATTTTCATTTTATTTTTAGGTATATTTAGAAGTAAATTTAGTGATAAAGTATTAGAAATACAGGCCACAAAGATGATTAAGGGACTGGAACACCTTTCATACAAGGAGAGGCTGAGAGAGCCAGGACTGTTCAGCCTTGAGAAAAGAAAGCTCAAGGGGATCTTATCAATGTGTATAAATATCTGATGTGCAGGAATGAAGAGGAGGGAGCTGGACTCTTCTCAGTAGTGCACAATGACAGGGGAAGAGGCAGTGAGCATAAGTTTAAAAAAATATTAAATTAAATTTGAACACAAGAAAAACACTTAAAAATATATATATAT